GCTGTGGTCTAGAGGAGATGGTGACTGCAGCACATGGGTACAGGAGGGGCAGGGGCAGCAAGGCCTAGCCAGGCGTGCTTCTGGCCCCGAGCTCAGAGGGTCCCCAAAGGGGCAGGGTCCCAGGGATCAGGGTGGATGGTGCTTGTGGCTGGGGCCTCAGTTCCTCTGAGCTGGTCCCCACGTGGCCCTGGGGGGCTGCTTGGGCTTCCTCCCAGCATGGCGGTGGGGTCCAGGCTCCTGTAAGCAAGACCAGGGGCAGTGGTGGTGTGACCTGGGTCCGGGGGCAGGGTGAGGCTCCCCACTGGCTCCTCAGCTGTCACAAGTTCTGCCCCAGTTCACAGGGAGGCTGAGGACCCTCTGCTAGGGGGTGTCCGTGCTTTGTGAGGGGACACACAGGCCGGGGAAGCTGGTTGAGGAAGGTGCCGTGTGGGGGTGGACATGCTACACTCTGCATGGGGCTGGCTGGGAGGTGCCTGGCAGGCCTCAGAGCCTGAGACCTCCCTCCCCCCATGCTCACCCCCAGAGCTGCCAGCATCCAGCCTCGAAGGCCCAGACAGCACGCCTTCTGCTCACTGGACCAGGGTGGGCCTCACGGCCGGCCGCAGCCCCCGCAGCCCTGTGGACTGGCCCATCCTCATGGGCGGGGTCTGTGGTGCTCGCTGCCCTCTCTGAGGGGTGCAGTTTGTGCAGAAGCAGTGAAGCCCTGTGGGCTCTCCCGGAGCTGGGGCTGTATTCACCACCAGTGCAGGGCGACCGTGACCACGGTGGGCCTGCGGGGGGCACCCGTGTGTGGCTGCCTGCGTCTCGTCTGGGTGAGCCCATGTGCCCTCTGCCCCGTGCACGTCTGTAGCACAGCCTCAGACCCAGCAGGTGGCCTGTGCTCACCTCCCTGGCCTCTCCTATCCATCTGTCCATCCGCTCTGGCGTCCGTCCATCCTTCACTGGGCCCACCTCTTGAGCGCTGGGGTGCAGCCGGCTTTCACTGGTCCTGTCCTCCCGTGGCCCCTGGCCCTGCTGTCCGCACCTCTCCTGGGGGCTGCTGTCAGCGCCAGCTCCTCCGACTGCTTGTGAGGTATCTTGTGAGTTTTTTATTAAATATACTTTTATTGATTTTTTTTTTTAGAGAGAGGAAGGGAGAGAGAGAGAGAGAGAGAAACATCCACCGGCTGCCCCCTGCCTGCCTCCTACTGGGGATCGAGCTCACAACCCAGGCACGTGCCCTGACCGGGAATCGAACCGGGACCCCTCAGTCCATGGGACGCTCCATTTGCTGAGCCACACCGGTCGGGAAGTTGTGAGATATTTTGAATGTGGCCCTTGGACATGTCCGTGGTTGAACTTCCAGGAACGAAGACCTTGATGTGGAGATGGATGTGGGTGAGCAGGCCGCAGGGCCCAGACCACCCTCTACTGATGTCCTGGGCAGTGGCCGTGGCACTGGGGGCCTCTGTCCTGAACTCCCGGAGGGGCATCCCTGGCAGCTGCGTGGCTAGTCTCCCTGAAGGAGGTCTGGGCACCCCCAGACAGAGTGGAGACGAGACAGTCGACACTCAGACGGCCTGCACAGGGCCTAGACAGAGAGCCAGGCAGGGGTTCAGCAGCACAGGTCTCGGGGTCACCGTCCTGGTCAGGAGACGGCAGGGGAAGCCAGAGTGCTGAAGCTCAAGAGTCTCGTGGGCTCAGGAGGGGCCAGAGGGGTGTCCAGCGGAGGGTGAGTGTGGGTGGGTGTAGGTGTGTCAGGGACTGAGAGAAGGAAGTAGGGGTCCCAGCGGCTTCAGGCAAGGCTTGTCCCAGCAGCCCCAACACAGGCCCTATTGGCGCTCCTCTGGGCGGTCTCCAGGGGAGCTGGGAGCACTGTCCGCAAGGGGGGCTGAGCTCTGGAGGCGCCCTGCTCCCACTGGGGCCCAGAGCCCCAGACATGGTTGTGCAGGCCTTGGGGTGCCATGGGGTGTCCTCCACCCGGGCGTTTCCTGTGCTGTCGGCTGAGCGAGGCTGGATCCGTGTCAGGGGAGCTGAGTCTCGTGGGCGTGTCCAGCTATTTAGAAGCCGCCCGCCCCCGCTGCTCTCTTTGAACTGGGAGCAGGCCCACGAGAGGCTCCGCCACTGCAGGGGGACCCAGGTGTGTCCCAGCCACTTCCCCCGGCAGGGTGGGGTCGGGCATTTGGCTGGGCCCTGGGTCTGGGCTCCCCTTCGCTTTGTGGGAGCTGCCAGGAGAAGCCGCCCCAGCCACTTGCCCGAGCTCAGGAGGGGCCAGAGGGGCTGTCCAGCAGAGGGTGAGTGTGGGTGAGGCTCCCCCGTGTTGGGAGGCGCTGTGCTCCAGCTGCGTGGCCCCTGCATCTCGCTGCGCGTGGGCCCAGCTCAGGGCCACTCCCCTGCACCTGTGGGCCCTGCCTGAGGCCAAGGCCTCTGTGGGCTGGCGAGGGGCCCCTGTGCACATCCCGCGGGCCCGCCCTGGGCAGCAGGGGAGACGTGGCCCCCACCACTCGGGCACCGCGCTACCCCTCACGCCTGCACCGGTCACGGTGCTGCGTGGCGAGCTGTGGGCCTGTCCCGGAGCTTAATGGGCATCTCTGCACAGCCCCGGGGATCCTCAGGGCCGCGGCAGCACCCCGGGCCACAGCTGCAGGGTGGGTGGGCGGAGGAGCACGGGGGGCATGGGCCGGGCTGCTGGGAGCTGAGATTCAATTATGTGGAACAGGCCAGGCTGCTGGGACTCACGGTCAGGAATTAATGTTAACACTGTTCTGGTTAAGACTTTCTGTGTAGATAAATAATTCATGAGGCAGTTAGCGCTTTGAGTCTGACAACACGAGAATATATTAATACAGTCGACTCCGCTAAAGGTCAGCCGCGTGCGGTGGGCCGGGGGCCATGTTTTATTCATCCGGTGACACAGGCTTATTAATGATTCGGGCTCCGCAGGGCTGTGTGGGGAGAGCCACTAACGAGGCGAAGGGAGAGGGTTCGAGGTGAGGCACCCGCAGCTGGGGGGGCCCATCAGGCAGGAAGACCCGGGCCCCACACACGGGCCTGAGCCCCTAGTTGAGCGGTCACTGCCAGCCAGCTGCGCCCAGGCCCCGAGGTCAGAAGGCTGAAGAAAACCGAGATCTCGTGGCAGCCACAGAGCGGGGGCCAGTGGCAGGAGGGGCGGCACAGACCCCTGCCCGTCACATGCCTGCGCCTGAGACAGGGCGAGAGCCTGGGTGTCCTCGCGTGTCGCCATGGTCAGTGTGGCCCGGGGCACGCAGGTCCACTGGCGGAGACGGGATGATGGGGGCACAGGGCGGGGGGGGCGGGGGGCAAGGCCGCCGTGTGGGGACCCTGGCTGTGCTCAGGGGCTGGCCAGGGGCTGCGTCCCGAGGGGCTGTGTCAGGCCTGGAGTGTGAGGCCTCTCGGCACCCAGGGGAAGCACCTGGCCAGGACTGACCAGCCAGCGCCCTCGCTGTCCCACCTGTGACAGGTGTTTGCGCCGCAGGCGTCTCTGCTCCGTGGGTCTCACTTGCCGTTGTCTGCCTCTGGGCTATTAGGCTGCAGTCACTTAATTGCTCGTTAATTGGGTAATTAGTGCTCTGTTTTGCTTTAAAGCCCTAACACTCTAAAAAGTGAATGAGCTGAGTAAACACCGTGGCCCTTGCAGGACCCCCCACGGTTCCTGCATAATTAATTCAGTGCAGCCCGTGACTTCCTGTGCTGAGGTGGCCCCAGGCCCTCGGGCCACAAAGGGGCCTCAGTCCCCTGTCAGCCACCATGAGGGGCTGCTGGTATGGCGCCCGACCACCCTGCCTCTGTTCCCCCATTCATACGCCGGCCCGTGGGACATCAGGGGGCTCCCGTCTCCTGGTCCCAGTCCTGCCAGCCCCACGGGTGAAGCCCAGACCTAGGATGAAAGGGCTTTTTCGCCGTGACCCCTCCCAGCTGCTCCGGCCCCGGAGACACGCCCAGCGAACACCGAGGACTTGTGCCACCTGGAGCCCTGCAGTGTCCCCAAGCCCACGGGAAGCATGGTGCCCACCTCAGCCACGTGGCACCACCCTGGGCATGGAGTCAGCGCCGACGCCCCACAGCTCAGACCCCCACGCCCACGCCCGGGGTGGAGCGCAGTGTCCGTCACCTCCCACTGCACTCAGGCCTCGGGCTCCCTGCCTGTGGTGCCAGCTGCTGGGCCTGTGCAGGGGACACTGCTGCTGGGAGTGGGTCACCCCTGGATCGAGGTGGGGTCACCAGACGCTGAGCTGGGGGTGGCTTCCAGCACCTTCCTCCGGGCAGGGCCCAGACCACACCCCCCCAGGGCTCCCCCGCCCCTCCTCCCGCCTGCCACTAGCATCTCTGGGCCCAAGCGCGGCAGCATCTGATGGGAGCCACCGATCAGTGGCAAGGTCTCCCGGCCCGTGAGTCTTTCATGCTTTTGTTTGAGAAATGGAGAGGATAGCCTTCCTCTGAGCTCTGCCGTGGGGCAGTAATCAACGATCACACAGAAGGAAAGGCCCGCCTGGCCAGTGCCGCTCAGTGGTTGAGCGTTGACCCTGCACCAAGAGGTCGCTGGTTTGATTCCCGGTCAGGGCACATGCCCAGGTTGTGGGCCAAGTCCCCAGTGACGGGCATGCAGGAGGCGGCCAGTCGATGTTCTTTCTCATTGATGTTTGTTTCTCTCTAAAATCAAAAAAGAGAAGGAAAGGCACTGGGTGACCGTGTCGATGGGCGTCCCCATGCACACACAGGCCGGTTGGGGTGAGGAGCAGACCTCCTACGCAGGTTCTCCCGGCCAGGCAGGGTACAGTCTGGGGAGCGGTGTCTGTGCCCAGGCCCCGTGGGGGCTCTGGTGTGAAGAAAGGGCTAGGACAGATGGTGGTGGTGATGGCGATGAAAGTAATGATGGTGATAACGAAGAAGGTGATGAAGGTAAAGATCATGATGGTGACAGTAGTGATAACAGCTATGATGACGGTGATGGTGATGGTGGTGATGATGGAGATCATGGTAATAGAGGTGCTGGTGCTGGTATGGTGATGATGGTGATGGAGGTCATGGTAATAGAGATGGTGATGGTGGTGGTGGTGGTGGTGGTGATGGTGATGGAGATCATGGTGATGGAGGTCATGGTGGTGGTGATGGAGGTCATGGTGGTGGAGGTCATGGTGGTGGAGGTGGTGGTGGTGGTGGAGGTCATGGTCGTGATGGCCATGGTGCTGATGGTGATGTGATGATGACGATACCATCACACTGTATCATGCTGAGAACACACCCAGCACTGTGCTAGCCTTTGCAATATATTCACTGTTTAAGCCACACAACAGCCCTGCAGGTGGGCTATCGCCTCTGGTTTACAGAGGCACAGAGAGGTCATGGGTCTTGCAGCACAGTGTAGGCTGCAGCACAGAATCAGAGCAGGTGTCTGCTCCAGAGCCCGGTCTTGGCCTCCCCACCACACGCAGCACATCCCCTGCCCTTCCTCCGTAGACCCCCACCTGGACCCCCGGCCCACCTGACCCTGTGAAGGTCACCTCTTGCAGGCAGCTTCTGCCAGACAGATGTGGCTTTTTCTGTCCTTGCCCTGATTAATCACCTCGTTCAGTTCCAACTCCACGCAGTTAAACATTAATTCAGTGGGACGTAACACGAACTCGCGTACATGTGGCCTGTGCTACCGGATGGGCATGTGCTGTGTGCTCGTCACAGGGTCCCCAGAAGGCACCCTCACCCTCCTTGGCGTTGGACCATTGAGCGCGTCACAGTGACCCCGAGGGACCATCCGAGAGCTGTGGGGAGGCGGCAGTGCCCTGAGGCGGTCCCGGGCGCTGGGCGGGGAGGCCTGACCCCCGCAGTGTGCCGGGCCTGCCCTGTTTCCTCCAGGGACTGAGTAAGCAGGGAGAGGCCGGACTGGGGGTCTGGCAACTCTGCCAGTGGCTGTGAGGTCGGGGTGTCCCGATTCCCCACAGGCCATGACCCTGGGTCCCACTCCTCCCCTGAGGTGCTGATCACCACCCTGATTTCCCTCTGGCTCCAGGGCAGAGCTCACAGGGGTGATATTCTGCCGCCAGCCTCTCCAGCCTCCTCTCCCGTGCTCCCCTTTGCCTTCCTGGGGCACCCTCACTGTCCCACCCCATGGCTGTGTGGCAGGAGATGGGCCCACTCGTCCTGTGCCACGTGACAGGGCCCTGCGGCCACCACAGAACGGCCGTAGGGGGCGGGGCCAGCACCCCGAGCCCCAGAGAAGCTGTTTTCAGCCACAGTTTGACCCCCGTGTCGTGACTGCAGTTGCTGGGAAGGGGGTTCTTTCTTCGTGTTCTCTTATGCTGTGGTTTCCAGAGCTGCCTCTTTTCAAGCTCTGCCGACCACAGTGAGAAACAGGTCTGTCTGTGCGACTATCGTCGGCAGAACGGACGTTGAGCGGTTTCTCTTTGGCACGCCCTCAGGGCAAGTGGGGGCACCCCTGGCCCCCTCCCTGCTGGCAGCGCCCTGGCCCAGCCTGTCCTGACCCCTCATCTTCCCCAGGGGTCTCAGCAGCCCTCACCCCGCCCCTCACCTCCCTGCCTCCCCTCAGAGAGCTCAGCTGGCCCCGGGGTGAGGAGAGGCCCTGGCTGGCCCCGGGGTGAGGCGAGGCCCTGGCTGGCTCGGGCCTGGCGGCGCCATGGCTCCCTCTGGCCTGTGTCTGCTCGGGGCGGGTGTCTTCCTGGGTGACTGTCACTTCTGCCTTGCCTGCCCCACCAACACCCCACAGCGCCAACGGAGCTCTGACCTGGGGTGCACCTGTGGCCTGGGTCCCCGTCGCCTGGGCTCCTGGTCCTGCTGGCCAAGGACACGCCCATCGGGCCTGAGGCCTGGAATCGGGCTGCGGGGCGCCGGGCTGCCGGAACCTCCTCCTCCCTCTCTCCCACACTCCCTCCCTCTGGTGCACCCCTGTGGCCTGGGTGAGACCTGCGGGTGCTGTGGGTGCTGACTCCCCTCTCTCTCCACAGTGCGACAGCGAGAGCGACGGGGACGACAAGGTAAGCCCCTGCATCGCCAACCCCTGGTTGCCTCGCCCCAGCGTCCTGGAGACTAGCAGGGAGGCCCCGGCTTTCCTGAGGGGCTACAGGGGCCCCAGCCTCACCTGGCCAAGGAGGTGGGGCATTTCCCAGGCCCCCCAGCACTGCGGGGTGAGGCCCAGCGCCTGGCCCCATCACTCTGCAGGGTCCCTTGGTTGGGGGCCCTGCGGGCAGGCTGCCCTGGGCCAGCCCAGCCCCCGCAATTTCAGGCTCAGGCTGTAGCCATCTCGAGAAGATAGAGACTTGACTCCTTTTCAAGGACCGGGAGGGTCCCGTCACTGGATTTACGCAGCTGGTGTGTAGTGCAGGGATGACTCGCAGCCACACACAGCCTCGTGCTGTCGGCCTGGGGGCGGGGGTCCTGCATCTGGGAGAAGGCGCCCAGAGCTGTGTGTGGGGCGCTGTGCGGGGGCAGCGACCTTGAGAAGTGTCTGCTGTCCCAAAGCCCTGAGGTCACACAGCTGGATTGTCCTTGCTGAACAAGCAGAGTCCCAGGTGGGGAGGCAGGCAGGGCTGGGACCTCGTTCCTGTGGGGCCTACGAGGGGGACGAGCATCCGGCCCTGCGGACGAGGTGCCCAAGGGCCGTGCGAAGGGAGTAGATTCCACATAGGGAGGTCGGGGTGTGGCTCTTGGCTCCGCGCCTGTGTCCTGACTGCGTTGCTGGAGCTGTCCCCGCTGTGGGGTGACGGCCCCACTCATGGGCGGCTCAGTCGTGAGCACAGGTGTGGAAAGGGCTGGAAGGCCCCTCGGCAGGGTGAGCAAGGGTCAGGGCAGGCCTCAGAGGACACCGGGGGCCCAGTGGCTGGCCATGGGGGTGGGTGAGCAGCTGAGGGTGAGCATTTTGTCCCAGGGGCCTGGGAGGGGACGGAGGAGTGGTGTGGACAGGTGAGGTCTGAGACGCCCCAGGACACGCACTCCGAGGTGAGCTGGCCCAGAAGCCCCGAGAGGGTTGCTGTCTGGACCGTCAGGGAAGGTGGCTGGAAGTGACCAGTGTTGTCTGTGGTCCCAGTGCCCTCTTCCCGCCGTCCTGTGGGTGAAGGGAGCTTCGGGGCTTGAGAGACGCCTGTGCAGGTCCCCCGCTGCCCGCAGCCTTGTGGGTGCTGGGACAGGCTGTCGTTCCTGGTCCCCCGTGGAGTCAGAGGGCACCTGGGGGACCTGTGCGCTGTCTGGTCCCTTCCCCACCCCCTTTCATCTGAAACCGCGCTGCAGGAGTGCTCTCTGAAGCCAGGGTTCGAGGGGTGTGTGGGGTTTCTGAGGCCTCAGGTTGCTGGCTGCTCCATCCGGGGGCCCCTTGGCCCATCTCCGCAGGAGAAACCCAGCTGCCGGCCCGAGCTCGGCCTGGCCCCAGTTGGCACTGGTCTTGGCGAGTTTCTCCCTGCATCCCGGGTCCAGCGGGACCCCGCCCTTGCAGCGCTCGACTCCCAGCCCAGTGTCCCGGCTCCCGAGGCCCAGGGGCCAGCCGCCCCGCACACGGCCCTGCTCACTTGGGAGCACAGCTGGGCAGTGGCTCAGCAGAGGAGCCCCTAGTACTCACCAGAGCCAGGGTGGCCAGCAGGCACCCGGGTCTCCGCTCAGCTGTTCTGGCACAGCTCCCACTGAGGCCCGGCGGGGTCCCTGGAGGCAGCTGTTGGACAGCCCTGCGTCTGCGTCCGTTTTCCCGCACCGCTGGTCGTAGGACGGGCCACCTCCTGCAGGGCAAGGCAGGGATGATGGTGCCAAGCGTCCCGGGCACTAGAGCAGAGGGTGAGCCCTGAAGGGCCACACGGTACATCACCCCAAGAGCTCAGGTTTTGTTCAGGTGCATCGGCCACGAACCCGGGAGGTCCCTGCCACAGGGCCTCGCCCTGACCCTGTCCCCTGCACTCAGTCGCCTGGCTGCAGGGGGCGCACTGCACCTGTTACCTGTGGTCCGGCCCCTCTGCACCCTCCACAGCAGTGGGTACCTGGTACACAGAGCTGCTGGGTCCGGAGTGTGGGGCTGTGAGTAGCGAGAGTCTGGAGAGCAAGGGCCCCAGACCCCGTCTTCCTTCAGCCAGGCTGGGTTTCTGGGCAACGAGCAACCTTCTCCAGGTACACCACGCAGGCACCCAGTAGACACCTGCCTGGGACCTCGGACAAAGTCGCCATCCCTCCTACCCCCCAGTGCAGCCAGGCTGACCTGTGGGGACACCCCCAAGCAGAGAAGGGCCTCTGCCCTGTGGACACCCCGACTTTCTTTCTCTGACACTCAGCCCGGCAAGGCCGTTCACGGTCTCAGGAGGGGCTGGTGCAGGCGGGAAGGCCAAGTGCCCCCCCAGTGTCCCCAGGATGGAGAGCGTCCTGACGGGGCTGCAGGGACATGGGTGGGAGACAGAGTCGCCTCCGGCAGTGCCTGGCCTCCGACTGACATTGAAAACGGCCACGAGCAGCCCTTGGCATCCGCGGGGCGCCTCCCCGGCCCTCGCTCAGCCCTGGGGAACGCATGCTCGACAGAGTTGGCACAGGCTTGGCTTGTCACATTCCTTGATGCACAGTGGACCGGAGGCAGCCGGCCGGCAGGCATCTGGGCTGCCCTGGGAGGACAGCGGGGTAGGCAGGCAGGGGAGTGGGAGCCACGGGGCTGTGCACAGAAACAGGTGCTGGGCACGGGACAGTGGGCAGGCGGGCAGCGGCCCGGAGGCCTCTGGGTGAAAACAGGAAGGCCTCTGTGATTCTGGCCAGTTTACTTCTCCCAGATCTGCCAGGGGAGTTCTCCTCTCCATCCAGCAGCAGCCCTGGAGGCTGGCGTGCTGACAGACAGACAGACAGACAGGAAAACTTCTTCACTGCCTCCCGGGTCAATGCCCTCCCCACCCTCCCGAGGCACCAGGCCCTACTTGGCCGTGGGCTGCAGGCCTCTCCCACCATGGCCCCCACCCCACTCCAGCCCTGCTCTGGGCCAGGCCCTAGGTGGGGCGGCAGCTGTGCAGCCAGATGGCCGGTCCGCACCCAGAGGTTTTAACCCAACTGCTTTTTTATTGGGAAAATATGGGGTGAAAAATTGTGTGGGGCTCGTTAGGCGGCTTGCTGGGCCCAGACTGGCTGCTGTCTGCCCAAGTGGCTCAGCCAGGTGGCCAGCTGGCCAGCACTCCATCCTGCTGCCTGTGGCCACTGCCCTCCTTCAAGGGATGACTGTGGCCTCTCTGTGGCCAGTGACCCGTGTGGGCCTCTCACATCACTTTCACAGGGTGCCTGGCGCCCGCCTGTGCACAACCGGTGGGCCCGGATCCGTGTCAGGGGCGCTCGGCCTCCCCACGGCGTGGAGGCTCCTCCTGGGCCTGAATTTGGCTTCTGCCCACAGGCACTGGGCAGTGTTCAGGGTTTGTGCCGGCTGCCGGTAGCCAGTCTGCACACAGGGTAACTGTCGGTGTCTCCCACCTCGAATCCCGGTTTGGAAGCCGGTGAAACCGAGCCGCAGGGAGGGCAGAGCTTACACAGGACAGGTGCCAGCCCCCTCATCCTTCAAGCCCCAGCCCCCCGACCTCGCTGCTCCGTGACAAGCCCCCCAGCAAACTGGGCGTAGGAGCGGTCCACACTTGTCGCTCTGAGGCCGGGAGGAGTCGGGCCCACCAGGTGTTCGCGGCATTGAGCGCCCTGATCTGGTAGCGGAGATGGGACGCCGACCACCCGGACCCGAGCCAGCGGCGCTGCGCGGGCAGATCCGCGCCTCGAGGCTGGATTAGTCGGGCCTGCCCGCGCCCCGCCCCCGCCCCGCCCGCCCGCGCTCACTCCCGCCTGCGCGCCCGCCAGCAGTGCGCCCTCTGCTGCCGCTGGCCCCTCGCCGCGCCCGACGGCGCCTGGGGCCCAGAGCTGCCCGCAAGCCGCCCCGAGCGCCGAGCCCGAGCGGCGAACACGCGCGCCCCCGGCCTGGGCCCCGGCTAGGCGCGCTGGCAGCGGGGCCGCCCCGACGGGCCGAGTCCAGCGGGGGCCCGCGCTCCGCCGCCCGCGTCCATGCCGCCCGGCCCCGGTCCTGCCCCGGCCAGAGGACTAGCCGCGATCGCCTGCCGAGCGTGCTGCACCCCGGGGCGCCCGCGCGGTGAGTGCGCACTGGTGGCTCCGGGGAGGGACCCAGGACTTTGGGGGCTGGGGTCCAGAGAGCAACCGTCCCCTCTAGCGCAGCGAGATGCGCGAGAGGCCCCCGGCGCTGTGTCCACCCCGTCTCTCTCCGGAGCCGGACGCAGGAAGACCCGGCGTCCCTCGGCTGCGCCCCCGGGGGCGCACGTGGCGGCGGGCGGGCGGAGATGCAGTCCGACCGAGGGTCCTGGGCCTCGGCCAGGGCACTGGGGGGCCTGCGGCGGAGGCGGGGCCGGGCATCGTGGGGGGAGGCAGGAGCCTTTGTCTGCGCCCCGGCGCTGGTTCCGCCACCCGGGTTCCCGGCGGCCGCAGGCTCACCTGCCCCGAGTTGGAGTTCTTTGTCTGGGGCGGGGCGCGGCCAGCGGAGCCTGTGCCGCGTGTCCACCGAGGCTGCCCAGCGGGTCGGGCCCTCGCAAACAAAGCGCTCGGTGACCGCCACCACAGGGATTATGCACCTCGCACATCCCTCCACCGGCACCCTGAACCTGTAGTCCGGGCACCTCCCACCTGTACTTTGGCCTGGGGTGACCCCTTCCTCCCACCCCCAAACCTGCTCAATGCCAGGATTGGAGAAGGCTGTGACTGCTGGCTCCCGTGGGTCACATGTCAGTAGATAATCCTCGGAAAGTTATTGTCACAGGTCTGGTAGCTACAGACCCTCTTGGAGTAGAAAGGAACTGGCTACCAGCAGGTGGCCTATGTACCTGGGCTGGGAGGGGCCACCAGCTCCAAATGGGCATGGCCGAGCCTGGCCAGGTGCCAGGCCCTCACTGTGCAGAGGAAGCCAGCCTGCCCCTGCCCAGGACCCTGTGGGAACTGGGATCCCTCAAGTTCCCTGAGAAAACTGTCACCACAGCAGAGGGGCCATGAGGACGGACGGACCTAGGAGAGTGGCCTGCCTGTCTTTGCCAGGGCAGCATCCAGGGAGCTGTTTTCCTTCCCCACCCCCTGCTCTTGCTCCCCCTGACTTTCCCAGGGTCAGGGGCACCACCTCCGGGCCCTGGGGTCTGGTGCTTGGCCTGCACCCTAGATGCCCCTGATCCCCACCTCAGGCCCTGACCGAGGGAGTCATACCCCAATGGCACGTCTTCTGACCCGGCCTCGCTGGGACAGTGATGCTCCCGTCAGGGGAAGGGCTCCACCAAACCACACGCGGGTGCGTGGACCTGCCGCAGGGCACTGTGAGACCCAGTGTCCCCCATCCCCCATCCCCCACTCACCTGGGAAACCACAGCCCCGACGGGGGTGGGCTGGGCCTCAGCCCCCTCCCTCTGGCACCTCCCCACCCGGGCCCACCCCCTGGAAGGTGGTGACAGCTGCCAGCTATGCCCGAGCTCATCAGTTCTTTACTATCAGCCAACCAGAGACAGTCTGGAGCTGGGGACCCTGGAGGCTGCTAACAGCGCTGTCCCCGCGACCCGAGGGGCTGTCAGAACAGCTACATGGAAGCCTTCAGGGGAGAGGCCACTGCGCTGGTGCTGGTCCCGTCGGGAAGGCCTGAGGGTCTGGGTGGTTCTGGGACCGAGAGGCAGGCCCTGTCCTCCCCTGCAGACCCCCAGCTCAGGGCGACCCCATCCCCACCCCCACCCCCACGGGGGCTTGTCAGGGGCTCTAACCACCTGTCAGTCAGTACTCACCATGCAGAACGTGCCAGGAACAGACGGGAAGATGGCAGCGGCGCCCCGAGCAGGAGTGGGCAGAGCCTCTGTCCGTGTGGGTGTGCCTGTCCCCCCAGGGGTGGAGGAGGAGGTCACCGGTGGGCGGGGTGGGCCGGCGGATGGAGAGGTGGGGCTGTGTCCCCAGCTTCCGTCATGCCCTCCTGCCTCTGGCCCACGCGGGTCGGGCCGCCCTGCCTGCTGTCCATTGTGTGTCCAGGACGGCATTTGCCGCTTTTTCTTGGTTCTGGTTCTGGGAATGTGGTTACCATGGTTACCATTCCAGAGAAATGTCCAGGCTGAGGTGTGTCCTGTGATCACGGGTTTGTTTTCCACATGGAAGTCAGTGTTCGGTCTGGTGTTACCTGACTCGGGAGCAAGAGGGATCTGGCCTCCCTTTTCCAAGCGGGGAGCTCCTGTCTCACCTCCTCGGGCCTGGAGACCCGCCCTTCCGCAGCCCCAGCTGCACGTCCCCCGGCGGCCCCCGGGGCCGGTGTGTGTGCGCGGTGCACCTGTTTTGAGTGACCGGTGGCTGCTTTGACACAGGACAGCTGTGCACCCGCAGCAGCCAGACTGACCGGCCTCACTGCACTGCTTCCTCAGAAAAGCTCCCTCGAGCTCTTTTTCTGTATGTGTTTATTTGTCGTGTAAGATACGTCCACAAAATTTACCAACTTGACCACGTTTAAGTGGGCCGCTCAGGAGCATCGTGCAAGGTGGGACATTCCTGTTTGCCCGACCCCAGTGGTCCACTCTGCCCTGGACGCTCAGTGTATCACTGTGGCTGTGGTCCCCAGACCTGTGCCTTTCCGGGCCTGGGGTGGTTCGAGGCGTGGTGTGTGTTGTCCTGCAGCCCTGGCTGGGTGGGGGGCACCATCGACTCTGCTCCAGCAGGCCCAGCAGAGCCCAGGTCCACAAGTCCAAGCCCCCACCGGCAGGCCATGCTGAAGCCCCTCGTCCCTGCTGAGCAGGATGTCCAAGGTCCCCCATCACAGGCCCAGTGTCCTGTGTGGTCACGTTTTTGCCACCGGACCTGGACATGGCCACTCTCCTGTGTGGGGGCTGTGGGCACAACAGGACCCCTGGGTGCAGGGCAGGGCCCGGCCAGGGTCACTCTCTTTACCTCCCCTCTCTTGCAGGCATCTGTGGGCTCCGGGCAGCTCTTTGCCCCAGCAGCTGATAAAGGTAAGGCGTGCAGGGGCCTCCGCGTGTGGGAAGGGACAGGAGACTTCTGAAGTCAGCGGGGGCTGGGCTGGGCCCTGCCCTGGAGTGAGGTGCTGTGAATGAGGGAGTGTCCCCAGGGGAAAGCCATGAGGAGGAGCAGGGACGCTGGCAGCTCCAGCCTGGGCACCTCCTGTCTCTGTAGCCTGATGGCTGCTCTTACTTGTCTAGGGGCTGGTGACAGGAGATTGGGGGGGGAGGGGGGCGGGAAGGATAGGAGTGTGGGGCCAGCGTCCCTGGGCAGCCATGAATGATGGGTAGGGACAGAGCTGTGACCTGCCAGGCTGACGTGGGCCCTCACTCCCCGCCCTCAGGGCAGTGGCGGCAGCCTCCTCCCTGGGCCTGTCCCTGGCGGAGGTGGTGCCCTGGAGGAGGCAAGGGCACCGCTCCTGTTCCCCCAGGGGTGGCTCTGGAGAGGCCCGACCGGCTTGCTGCCGTCCAGCCACAGGGCCTCACTCAGCATGCAGCCTGCAGGGCTCAGGCCCAGGGGCCCCACAGGGTGGCCGCCTTGAGCCACCTGGATTTCTGATCCTCTGGGAAGCGGATGTTGTCTCCTCTGTGCAAAGTGCTCAGGTGGTGCAGTGCCCACTCTGGCCTGGAGGGCGCCCTCCACCTGCCCCGGGGACCTGAGGCATGGCAGGCAGGAGCCTGAGGGGCGGCCCGCAGCTCAGAGGGAGCAGAGTGGTTGCAGGAGGCGGCTGCTGCACCCCACACTGCCTGGGTGGGTGGGTGGGGGAGAAGGGCAGTGTGGGGTGCAGCAGCCGCCTCCCTTAACAAGAAAAGTTCCCCCTGGGCAGGGCCCCAAAGAGGCTTAGGCCGGGGTCAGCCTGGGCCCTTCCAGAAAGGGGCCTTTGGCAAGGACAGCAGAGGAAGCTTCAGCCGAGGGTCAGTGTTCGGGTGGGTGGACATGTCCACAGACCAGGCAGTCGGAGCCCAGCTCCCTGCTTGGGCCTCCGCCACACCTCGGTCTCCCCATCTGTAAAATGGGGTCATACACGCCAAGCTGGGGTTGCTAGGAGAACACTTCAGGGCAGCTGGCCCTTCCACTGGCCCCTGGGGCGTGGGCGGTGGGGGTGCGTCACAGCGAGGCTCACTCGGGCCCTCTCTCCTCAGGCCCCACGCTGGGCGACAAGTCTGAGACCAAGGCCGGGGGGGCACCCAAGATCTCGGGCCTGGAGCGCAGCCGGGAGCTGAGCACCGAGCCGCCCTTCCTGCCCGCCGTGCACGGCCCCGCGCCCGGCGCCCCTGCCAGCCCGCTGATCAAGAAGGAAGTGCTCGCCCTGCCCCGCCTCACCCCGCAGCCACTGCCCGCGCCCCCGCAGCCCCGGGCCCCGCTCCCGACACACGTGCCTCTGCCCCTGGGCGCCTTCCACGGCCACTGCCCGGGCCACAGCCCGGCGCTCGGCAGCCTGCACAGCCTCAGGTGGGCCTCGCCCGGCCGGGGGTGCAGACCCCACGGGGGCGGGCCTGGCGGGGGGGCGCGCTCAGCACGCACTGAGGCCCCCATCCCCGCAGCAGGAGCAGCAGCGCCAGCCTCGCGCTGGGGAAGCACGCGTCCCTGTCGCCGCACGGGCCGGGCGCCCCGCTCTCTACCTCACACTTGGCGCTCCGCTCGCAGGCCCAGCACCAGCACCCCGCGGCCATGTTCGCCGCCCCCGCGACTCTGCCCCCGCCCCCGGCGCTGCCGGCCAACAGCCTGGTCCTCCCCGGACACCCCGCCGGTAGGTCCCGGCGCCCTTCGGAGGGGGCAGGGACGGGCTGGGGGAGGGTGCCCGCTTCCGAGGCGCTGCCCCCCCCATAGAGCCCCAGCAGCCAGCACCCCGGAAGGCTGCCTCTCCCAGGGGTCCTCCTGCCCTGTGCAGAGGTGGCTGCCTGTCCGGACAGACATGTGCCTTCCCTCCTGAGCCCTGGCCAGGCCTGCTCAGGCCGCTGGGCGCCGGGAGGCCAAGGGTCTGTGGGGTGCAGGTAGGGCCCAGTTGAGGAGGGGGGTCTGAGGTGAACAGTGGCCCCCTGGCCTCCCCCTCCCTGCTTGGTCCTGGCAGGTGCTCCCTCTCGGTGGAATTTAGGTCACTCAGCATTTCTCCGTGGGTCTCCCGTCCACGTCTTCCTAAAACCTGAGTCCGCCTGAACTGGGCTTGGGGCAGCTCGGCGCCCCGGGTGGGGCCAGGACAGGGTCTGGGTGGCCTGGCTGGGCAGGCTCCCGCGGCCGGTGGGTCCCGGGCTCACGGTCTTCTCTCTTGCCTTTAGATGCCAGCCTGTTGATCTCACTCAGCCCGCCAATCATGTATTGCCAGCCTCATGCGGGGATTCTGATTGGTACTTGGTCACAGGCCCCTCTCTTACCTCCACCCTGGGGCCCGCACCTAGCGAGCGGCCACCGCGGCTTGGCCTGCCGAACCCGGGAGTGCCAGGTGACTACCCGCCGCGCCCCCGGGAGCCCGGGCCGACGTGCCTCTGTCTCTCTCTCTTTCTCTTGTAGATCACGAGCTGCTCAGGCAAGAGCTGAACGCGCGTTTTCTGGTGCAGAGCGCCGAGCGGCCTGGCGCCCCGCTGGGCCTGGGGGCTCTGCTGCGGGCGGAGCTCCACCAGCACCAACACACACACCAGCACACACACCAGCACCAGCACACATTCGCCCCCTTCCCCGCGGGGCTGCCCCCGCCGCCGGTGCGTAGGCCCTGCGCGGCGGCACACGGCACGCACTCCGCCCGCACGCAGACTGACACCAGCCCTCTCCGTCCGTCTGTCCGTCCAGCCCCTCCTGGTCTTGCTCTGGTCCCCTGTCCTAGGCTTGGCGGGCACCCCATGTCCACACAGTGTGACATGGTCTTGGGGCCAGTGGTCCCCCACGTGGGGTCCTGGGCATCTTGGTGGGCAGCAGGGCAGCAGATCTGGCAGCCCTGATAGGACTGAGGGGCCACGGGAGCCAGGCCCCATCTCCCGCCCGCAAGGCCTCTCCTGAGCCAGCTGCTCTGTGGGGTGCAGGCTACTCTGCCCCCTCTGGGCTCTGCTCCGGACTCTGCCCCTAGCATGCAGCAACCACAGGCAGAGGCCCAGCCGGGCAAGTGCACCTCCCTTCTGCCGTGGTGGTGGGACCACAGGGACGGGGACAGGAGGCCAGCCCTTCAGGGAGCCTGGAGACCAGCAACCCCGGGAGGCAGGACGGCCATCCAGGCCACCGCCGGGCCTGATGGGGTGGGTGGGCACAGGCCCACAGAGGATGTTGTTGTGCAGGGTGGGTCTCACCCTTCACTCTCTTCCTCTTCAGTTTGACAAGTACACGCCCAAGCTGGACAGCCCTTACCTGCGACATTCCAACGTGAGTGTTCCTGCCTCGGGCCCATGCCGTCCAGTGGACGGGCCAGGCAGGGGCTGCGGGGTGGGGGCGGGTTGTGCCTCCAGACAGGTCTCCTAATGCAGAGGGAGGGTGACCCGAGGGGTGCATGGCGGGACCCTGGAGCACCCACCCTCCTTCTCTTGCAGTTCTTCTCGTCCTGCCCTCCCGCCCTCCCGGGTCTGCCCGCCCTGCTCCCGCACCCAGGCCCCTTTGGGTCTCTGCAGGGTGCTTTTCAGCCCAAGGTACCAGCTGTTTCTGGGGTGTGGGGTGGGCACGGAGGTGCCCCAAAGACGGGTGGCAGCGTTTGGAGGAGAGCACCCCAGCACCTCCCGCGGGGACTCAGCCAGAGGCAGAGCCGTACCCTCAGCAGGGGTCCCAGTGCAGGCGGCAGCTGCCCCAGGGCCCACAAGAGCCTGCTGTGTGCATGCGCCGGGCCTCAGCAAGGGTGCCTGGGGTGGGGCAGGCAGCACCGAGGCCCAGGACCGGGTTCCGGCTCCCTCTGCTCACCTTCCCTCAGCCCAGAACCTGGCTAAGGTGCATCAGCATCCAGAGCCCTCCCTCCCCCGGGCGAGGAGGGCGGGAAGCCAGGCCCCCTGGGGGGACGCAGGGGACGCAGGAAGGTGCTGCCAGGGGCCCCGCAGCCGCTCACCGCCCTGCCTTCTCCCCCAGACTTCAAACCCAATCGAGGTGGCAGGCCGGGCCAGCGCGGTGCACGCCCTGCTCCAGAAGGGCGCCGGGGTAGGTGGCGGGTGTGCCTGTGCAGCCCCTCCCTCCCGGCAACAGCCCCCCACCCCTGGGCTCGGCTGCTGCAGACCTAACGCTTCTCCTCAACCGCAGGCGGCCGACCCGTACCGGACCGCGGTCAGGGTGAGCGTGGACGCGCGAGTCCGCCGCAGGGAGGGCGGGTCCCCGGGGAGGACGCCCTGGGGTGCCGCCGCGGTCCGGGTGGGGCGGGGTGAGGAGGCCCCGCCCCCCGCTGACGCGCCCCCTGCCGCAGACGCCGGGGAAGTGGTGCGCGGTGCACGTGCGGATCGCCTGGCAGACCTACCGCCACCAGCAGAGGGCGAAGGTGAGCCGGGCCGTGAGCGCAGGCGCTGGGAGGAGCTGAGCCCGCGGGTGGGGCACCTGTGCTGGTCCCACCAGCGTCCATCCAGGGCTTCCCCCGAGCCTCGGACCCTGCACCCCATCCTCTCCCCAGGCTTTTATCGAGCGCCTGACCTGAGCGTCCAGGCTGGTGGGGGGACGAGACGCTCGGGGCGGACAGCGAGCAGGAGCCCAGCGTGGGGTGCAGGCGCCCTAGCTGTGGGGTTTCGAGCAGGGCTCCCCCAGTGACAGGAGATCTGGGGCCCTGGGCCCGGTAGGGGACTGTGGGGGAGGTCCCTGCTGGAGCCAGGACAGAGCAGACGGGCCTGACAGCCTCCCGCTGGCGCCCTGGTCACACTCACCTCCGTGCACGACTTCTGACACTTCTGTCTGCGCCACGTCCACGGAAGGGTTTGTCACGGAGACCGCGCGTCTCAGTGCGGGGCTCCTCGCGGGGCTCCTCGCGGGCAGCACACAGGGCACCGAGTGCGGCGCATCACTGCCCGTTGCTAGGCTGCCTGGGGGGGGGGGGCACACGGCCGGGCAGGGAGCTCTGGGGCCTCGAGGACAGCGGCCGGCTTCCTGAGCAGGCTCCCTGGACGCACTGTCCCTCAGCAGGTGCAGCCGGACCCCCACAAGCTGGAGGTGGGTGCCAAGCGGGACTTGTTCAGCCGGTCCCCTGCCCCAGGTCTGCTCACAGGATGCCACCACCCGCAGGACCTGGCCCAGCCCCTCTTCCCCAGCTCGGGTAAGGCTGCCTGGCTGTTCTGGCCTTCGCCCTCTGGCGGTGCCAGGTGGGGAGCACCTGTGGCTCCGGGCTCTGGCTGTTGTGTCCCCCAGACGACCTGAGCCCTGCCCTCCGGGCCCCCTTGTTCCCCCCAACAGCAGCCACGCAATAGGCACGCTGTGTGGGGGTCCCCAGGAGCGCCCCAGATCCAAGGATTTGCTAGTGGGACTCAGTGAACATCATCCCACAGCTAAGATGTGTCGCAGGGGACACAGCCAACTGAGTGAAGGGGAGAGGCCCGCGGCGTGAGAGCAGGGGGTGCAGGCTCAGGCCGGGACTGGCAGACATGCAGTCTCCCAGGGGAGTTCCCGGGCCAGCGCCCAGGCTGTCTCCTAGGTGGTCACGTGGGCTCTGCCTGCACGGACCTAACACTCAGGCTCAGGAGAGGTCAGCGCAGGCCCCTTCCCAGGGACAGGGAGCTCCTCCCCACCCGCGCGTCCTCCACGCAGGCCCTGTGAGCTCAGCTACCTCTGGGCCTGCCGCTCCCCTCCCCCAGCTGCCAGGCCCCTGCAGGATGCCTCCTCCCCAGAGGGCCCACCTCAGCCGGACCTGCTGCTGCGGGTGTAGTCTGCGGCCGGCCCTGCCCGCAGCCAGCAGATGGGTGTGCACGGGTCACCTGGGGACCTCCAGACCCCAGCCTGAGCAGAGGTGGCTCCCGGGAGTTTGGGTCCTGCAGACGGCAGACCTGGCAGGGCCTCGGTTCCTGGCAGCCAGCAGTCTGGTTAGGCTGGAGCCCCCAGGACATGCTTGGTCTGGGGCCTAGGCTGTGGCTCTGTGGCTTGGAGCCTGAGCTCCCTGACCCCCACCCCCACCATACTGCCTGCTGCTGCTTCCCCCAGGACGTGCCCCCCCAGACCAGGCCACACCATCAGGGTGTCGCCCCGCGTGGGGTCGGTGTGTGTTGTCCTGTCCTGACTCCGGAGCTGCAGTCTGGAGTATTGTGCTGGCCTCTCGAGCCCCCTTTCCTGGTGCTGCCACCGTATTCCCCAGCTGCACCCCACATCTGACACCATTCCCACCCGCACTGGGCAGGCTCCTTCTTGCTTCTGGGTTGATTTCTGTAGCTTATGAGTCATTTGGAGACACGTGTGATTGCAGCCAGGGCTCCTGGAGATGACACACCTCTGTGTCGGGGGGGAGGGGTGCTGCCTGCAGAAGACGTGGATGCCATTGTTGGGGTCCCCGGAGATGAGCTGCAGGACACGAGGGACACCCATGTCACAGTCCTTACCAGAAACCCACCCTCTAGAGTAAAGAGCACGCACCCCACCTGGCCACCCTCGAGGGTCAGTTCTGGGGGCTGTCAGCAGATGCCACGGTGACCCCTGGAGTCTGTGTCCTGCAGCCGGGGCGCCCTGGGAAGACCTGCATCTTTAGCAGCCGTAACTCGGGCTGTGTCCACTGCTAGGAGCTAATGAACGACCCTGGTTACCTGTCAGGAACTCGGGGTCACTGCCTCTGTCCCCAAGGACTGCACTGCCATCAGCATGTCCTGCTCCCCCTGGGGTCCTCCTGCCTGGTCATACTCTTCGAGGGGGAGGGGGGGTTCTTAGAGGAAGCCAGAGCCCCGACCCTGGGAACGAGCCAGTCAGGAGACCCAGCTGCTGTGGCTCCCCCCTCCCCCAGGTGCTGCCCATCCCACCACCAACCACTTCGCACCCTCAGCCCATCCCAGCGGTTTCCTGCCCACTGGTCACCTGACAGGTAGGTGCCCCCAAAGTCTGTGTGATCTGGGTAGCCTCCAAAGACCTCAGGGTTGGGGAGATGTCGGTGGGTGGGGAGGTGGCCCTGGAGCCACAGGGGAGGGCGCCTGGCAGGCACCACACAGACCTGACCCGGAGCCCCGCTGCCCCAAGACCCTTTCAGCAGAACGAGCACCTTCGGGGGCCTGGGGGGCCTGGGGAGCCTGGGCAGCACCGCCTTCGGGGGCCTGGGCAGCCATGTGCTGAGTGAGTGACCTACCTGCCCTCCTACCCACCTGTGGGCGTCCTGCACCCCACCCCTCCCAGGGGTTCCCCACGTGGTCTGGGCTGCACCTGCTCCCTGTCCCCTTCAGCCCCCTGGGACACACCCTATCCCAGTGCTGCCTGGGGTCCTGCAGTTGTGGGCTGCTCTCTAGCAGCCCGGGGGGTGGGGCAGTCACCTGGGCTCACGTTCCCACCACCACCCCAGCTGCAGGCGGCAGCATCTTTGCCCCCAAGGAGGGCTCCACATTGCACGGGTTGCCCAGCCCACATGAGGCCTGGAACCGGCTGCACCGGGCACCACCATCCTTCCCCACGCCACCCCCCTGGCCCAAGCCTGTGGACGCAGAGCGGGTCTCAGCCCTGACCAACCACGACCGAGAGCTGGACAAGGGCCGGGAAGAGCAGGAGCGGTGAGCGAGCCCCTGCCCTCAAGGTGTTCCTCGTCAGAGGGGGGTGAAGGCTGCACCTCAGAGCTGGGAGAGGCAGGGGAGGGAGCTCCCCTCGTGGGGCAAGGGTCTGTGCTGAGGAGCAGCCCAGCAGGAGGACCTCGAGGTCGCTGGAGGACAGTGGGCCCACTGCACTGAGGTGGGAGCTCAGCTGCAGGCGGCTTGCGTTGGGGGCGCCGGTTTGCAGCAGTCTGCCCTGCCCCGCCCCGCCCAGGGACCTGGAGAAGCCGCGCCTGCTGAGCCGGGCCTCGCCCGCGGCCCCTGGCAGCAGCCTCCCGCCCCGCGTCAAGGAGAGCCGCTCCCCGGCCAAGGAGGACGGCGCCAAGCCGGCCGCGCGCCCGCCGTCCCCCTGCAGCAAGGCGGCCCTGGGCGACAGCCTGCGCCTGGCCGGCCTCCTGAGCCGCGACCCGGGGACGCAGCCCGAGGCCGACGTGAAGGTCAAGGAGGAGCGCGGGGAGGACGACGACGCCCCCGAGCCCGCGGGGGACGGGCTGCACCGCGCGCCCCCTGCGTCCCTGCAGCTCGGCCTGGGCCCCGCGGGCCTCGAGCGTCTGCGCTTCGCGTGGGAGCCGCTGCGCGACGCCCACCGCGGCCTGGAGCTGCCCCGCCGCGCCCCTCCCGCCGCCCCCGGCCCCGCTGCCCTCGAGCCCCCCGAGCGCCCCTACCGCGACCGCGAGCCGCACGACTACAGCCCCGAGCGCCTGCGGGGGCCGCGCCGGGAGGAGCTGGAGCGCGCGCGGGCCGGGCACCTGGGCTCCCCGCCCGCCCCCGCCCCGGACGGCGCGCCCCCGCCCGCGCCCGCCCTGCACTGCCCGCGCCTCGGGCCCGCGGCCGCGCTGCACAGCGGACTCCTGGTGCGGGCGCCGCCCGCCGCGCTCGGCGCGCCCCCCCTGGTGGTCGCGGGCGGGCCCCCCGCGTCCCCCGGGCCGCCGCCCAGGAGCAGGACTACACCCCTCGAGGCGCCCGACTACTCCCCGTCGCGAAACCCGCAGGAGGTGGAGGCGCGGTAGCCCCTCGGCCCGCCCGGCGCGGACCCGCCCCGCGCCGCCCTCCGCGTCCGGACTCAGCACAGGCCCGAGGCCCCGAGGCCCTCCCGCCGCCTGGGGTCGGGGTTTCACACTCGGCCTCCCTGGGGTGATGTTTTCTGAGCCCGAGGTCAGGCTATTGGAAAAAAATTCAAGTTTGTACATTTTTTTCCCACAGGTGAGAAGCGTTTATAATAGATTTGTATTTTTTTCAATTTTGTGCTCTAGACATTTAAAAGAAGAAAAAGTTTTGCTTTTTAACTTTTAGTTCCCATTTGCGGTTTAACAGCCTCAGACCCCTTTCCAGAGCCCCAGGATTTTTTTTTTTTTCGTCTTATTTATGGAGAAAAAACGGTCATTTGTCCAACACACTGTGAGGCCCCCACTCAGGCTGGGCCCTGGCCCTCCCTTGGTACTTGGAACCGAAGTTACAGATATATATTAAAATAATAACTAATGTACAAAACTGGTTTTTGCCTTATTATGCAGAAGTGTAAGAATATTTCTTTTTTCAGTTTGCTCTTTGTAGAACGTGTGGAGCAGGTGGGCACAGTGTTACTGTAAGCACAGGAGGCGGGCACACTTCACAGACGGCCTTCAGGGACCCCTGTGCTGCTGTGATGTCCCGAGTCCTCCCGGGTTGGTGGGGACTCGAAGTTTGACCAGGAAGTGCCCCCAGGTGGGCGGCTCCAGGCTGAGGCTCTGGGGGGAGGTTCCCGCAGCACCCCAGCCCGGGCACCCACCTCCACCACTGGCCTCGCGCGGACTGACTGCCGTGTTCTCAGACGCCAGCCCTGACCAGTGGAGAGTCTAAGTGATCACAAAAGCTGCTTCTCTCCGTGACGGCCACCAGCCAGCATCCATCCTTGCTGTCCCTGCACCAGCCAGCACCTTGCGTGAGGTTCTTTTCGGTTCGGTTTTGCTCTCATAACCCCAGGAGCACCGCCGTGTCCATCATGCGCCCTTCTGTCCCTTCTGTCCCTGACAGCCACTCCCAGACGTTTCTGCTCGTTTGGACAGTGGGCCTCAGGATTGTAAACGTCCCATCCCCACGTCAATCCATGAAGGAAAATACAGCCTCGATTTTGGATGAAAAGGGGTCAAGCGTTTTGTGGGGTGTTGCAGGAGGCGGGGTTCCCTGGGGTGACAGGCACCTGGAAGTGTTCTCACTGCCTCCAGCCTCACGGTCCTGCGGCACCAGGGTCGTCCCTGCCACGCTGGACCCCTTCCTCCCAGCCTCTGCCTGGCACCCCATCTGTGCTCAGCTCCACGCTCCTCCGTTGTCCCCACCCGGTCGCCTGGAACTTGCTGGTCCCTTTGCCCACAGTGCTCGGTCCCGGCTGAGGGCTCCGGGTGTCGGCTCCCTGGGGTACATCTCAGAGGGTGGCCTTGCCCCCACTGTCCCAGTCAGGTGACCCTTTGTTGGAGACTCAAGTGCTCAGGAAGGGAGGGAGCAGGGTAGTGAGGGGGTGCAGCAGTCCACCCATCCCCAGGGAACCCACCCATGGGTGTAGGGGCCACATGGACGCAGTTCAGGGTCTTCCCTTGACCAAGACCACCGGGGAGTCCAGGGCAACGAGAGGAAGGAATGAAATAATTAAGAAGCCAAAGGACACATACCCCTGGGACCATAGGGCTGGGGGTGTGGCCTGTGTGTCCAGCCGGTCTCCTGACAGGGCCACTGCTTGGGAGCAGCTGCAGCCTCCCGGACGCACCGTCTACCCTGGGAAGTGTCTTTGTTTTTTGTTTTTGTTTTGATCCTCACTCAAGGACATTTTTGCATTTATCTTCAGATGGAGCGGGAGGGGGAGAGGGAGAGAAACATCGACTGGTTGCCACCCGCACAACCCCAACCAGGGCCGGGGTATAAACTGCAATCGAGGTGCGTGCCCTTAGTGGGAACCGATCCCGGGTCTCTCTGGTCCACGGGCTGAGACCAGACCAGCCAGGGCAGAAGTGTCTTTGAAATCAAAATAAATGATCAAACAAAAATTTTCAAAATGTTCAATTTCAAAGTTTCAATACATCTTTCAATACAAATTGAAAGATGTCATGTACAAAATTTATCAAATCTATCCACCGGTGTGGCTCAGTGGTTGAGCGTCGACCCTGTACCAAGAGGTCTCCAGTTCGAGTCCCGGTCAGGGCACATGCCCAGATTGTGGGCCTGATCCCCAGTGGGGGACGTGCAGGAGGCAGCCAGTCGACGTTCTGTCTCATCGGTGTTTCTCTTTCTCTCTCCCTCTCACTTCCTCTCTCTGTAAAATCAATCAAGGGGAAAAAATGTATCAAATCTCCTAAAAGTTAAAACTAGAGGCAATGAGTTGAAAATTTGAGAAAGGGTAAGAGACCTGGGGAATTTTCAGAAAAGAAAAAGAAAGCTACAGTGGCGTGGGGACATCTGAAGACGTAAGAAACATCCCAGCCAAATACCGTCCAGGATAAAAGACATCCAGACACGTGCGGTTCAGACACGTGTGTCCTGCCTGGGCTTCTTTGGAAGCTACTAGAAGAAACAGCCAAGTAAACGACGTCGACCACAGAAAGGGCCCCCTCCTCACACCCCAGGAATGAGGTTCGGGGGTAAATGGGACTCTTCTCTCCCTGTGAGTTTTAGACGTAGCTTGTCTAATGTAAGTTTCTTCTGCGACCTTCACATCTGCATAGCGTTGGATTTATAGATTCATTTGCGGGAGCAGTGACCTCTATAAGATCGCGTCTTCCCAACCCACCACCCAACCCCACTCATGTCCTGGGTAAAGGCTTTCCTGCTCTTCAGCAAAGTCCTGCAGTTGGTCACATGTTCCTGTGTGTTTTCTGCTTGTAACCAAGTCGCACGCTCTTGGTGGTCACAGTACAGAACAGCAGCGGGCGCTGTTTGCCGTGCACGCCGCTCCTTAGGTGGACGGCGGACCTCGCTGTCAGCTTCCATTTGCAGCTCCTGGTGTTCGGAGTCAGGTGGCTTGTGGGGCTTCTGAGCCTCTCGCGGCTGGTGTGGCCTCCACCGCCAGGAAGGTCCCCCCGTGGCCGCTCTGTGGGTCTGGCTCCTGGTGAGAAGACAGAGCCGTGTGGCCGGGAAGCACCCTGTTGTCATGAGCCCCGGGAGATGCAGGCAGCACAGCTGTGTTTACCAGGCAGCACAGCTGTGCTGACCCATGTGTCTGGCGGGTAAGATGCTGGGAGGTCTCGGGCAGGGGTCCTCGCCCTGGTCTTGAGTTAGAATCATCTTGAGGACCTTAAAAACACCTCCTGCCCAGAACTCACCCCAGAGGCTTGAGGTCTGGGGTATAGGGGGGGCAGAGTGTGGAGGGGCCAGCTCCATCTGTCCCCCAGCCACCCCCCACCCTGAAGCCCTGTAGCTGTGGCTCCAAACTTGCCCCGTGTGTCCCCCCCAGACGCAGCTCCCTGCTGTGGCTCCAGGCCCCCCTCAGGAGGACAGGCTCTGGAAGAGCTGTGGTTCTGGAGAGAAGGGAACAGGGATGTGACCTCACTGGGCCGTGCAGCCTGAGGTTCCCTGTGAACAGCCCGGGAACACGGCTGCATGTGGTGGCCTCCCCCAGTGCTCTGAGCCCAGGGGCGCCTTCAGAAGAGCGTGACCCACGAGCCAGAAATCGGACTGAGTTCTGCATGTCTCCCCGAAATTCCTCCAGTGCACCTTCTTGGGCCTGGTTACCCCGCACTAGGGCATTATCCGGGGAGCAAGCTGCTGTTTTCTGCAGAAAAGGGAAAATGTGAGATCTGTAGAGGTCCCGGCTGACTGGTCCCCATCGTGTCAGAGAGGAGCCCCTGGGGGCACCCAGGGCTCTGTGACCCGCCAAGGCCCGCATCACCACCTGGTGGCAGACTTGGGAACTGCGCAAGGTCCAGCTGGTGTCCAGTCTTCCTGAAACTTGCCTTCTGTTCGGGTGCTGTGGGTGCGGGGCGCCTGCCACGCCCGCGGGGCCCACCTCATGAGTTTACAATCAAACAAGTAGAACGTACGGTGTCTCGGAAGGCCAAAACACTAGAAGACAAGAAGGGGGTGGGCGTTACTAGATGGTGAAGGAGGTCCCCCTGAGAAAGTGATTTTTGATAGACTTTCAGGTGGAGGGAGCCGGTGCATCCTGGGGCAGCATCCAGCAGAAGGAGCGACCAGTGCAAAGGCCCTGAGACAGGAGGATCCAGGAGGTGGAGAGGGACTGAGACCAGAGACCGTGGCCACAGGCAGAAGCCATGACTGTCTGCTTCCACTCCCGTGTCTCTGGAATATTTTAAAAGAAGAATGATACCACTGGTTTCTTTCTCTTTTTTTTTTTTATCCTCACCTGAGGACATTCTTCCATTTCTTGTTCAGATAGAGTGGGAGGGAGAGAGAGAGAGAGAAACATCGACGTGAAAGGGACACATCGAGGGGCTGCCACCCGCACAACCCAACCAGGGTCGGGGACAAACTGCAACCGAGGTACATGCCCTTAGCAGGAACCGAAGCTGGGTCTCTCTGGACCGCAGGCTGACACTCTAACTGCTGAGCCAAACGGGCCAGGGCTCTTTCTCTCTTTTTAAATCCTCACCAAGCATATGTCCTTTTTATGGACTGGGGCCAGGAATCGAACCTGCAACCCAGGTATGTGCCTTGACCCAGAATCCAACTCTCGACCTTTGGTTTGTGGGCTGACGCTCTAACTGCTGAGCCAAACCAGCCCGGGCTTCTACTGGTTTCTTTCTTTCTTTCTTTCTTTCTTTCTTTCTTTCTTTCTTTCTTTCTTTCTTTCTTTTTAATATGCTTTTATTGATCTTTGTTTAGAGAGAGAAAGGGAGAGAGAAAAACATCGATGTGAGAAACACCAGTCGCTGCCTCCTGCATGCCCCCTACTGAGGATCAAGCTAGAAACCTGGGCATGTGCCCTGACAGGGAATCAAACTGGGACCTCTCAGTCCATGGGACGATGCTCAATCCGCTGAGCCACATGGGCTGGGCTCCTGCTGGTTTCTTTATGGTACGGTCA